TGCCTCCTAAGTAATAACTGTCTGAGAGTGGTGAATTTTCAGGTACAACAGCAACCTTTATCTGGAGCACATAAAGTAGACTTGAAAGTGTACCTGCCCCATGACTCCTTGGCTGAGTGTACCCCAGTGATGGATTTCTCCATCAGCATGTACCAGGAGATGCAGACTAGTTGTGTATGTGAGAAGACATTTCATATAAATCTCAGCCCAGATAGATGCCTCCCTCTTTCCACCCTTGGAATAAGAACCAGTTCCAAGTTGACCAAAAGCCATCCTTCTGCCCCCTCTGATGAGAGATCCTTGAACAGCAATTGTAAGGCATTCCTCCAGAGAGACAGCTTTCTCCTTCAAAGACCATATACTCCTCAAGTGCCACCCTTGGCTCCTTGTAGCCAATTTGCATAAGTAACCACAGGGACAAATGCTCTACTTTCAGAAGTGCCACATACAAAAAACTGAAATATAAGGAAACATATGAGTAAATACAAGTATGCCTTAGAGTAGATACTTTGAATGGAGTAGATAGATACTGTCCTTATTAGATTTTTAAATTGAGGTTAAATTCACATTACAAAATCATTTTTAAATATACAATCCAGTTATATCTAGTTTCCAATTTTTCATCACCCTCAAATTCCTTAGTTTTTAAAACCATCTTTAAATTTTTTTCCTAGATGTATTTAGAGGGGAATGCTGCAGCACCCCAAAATAATGCCACTGCCTTCAAATACTTTTCCATGGCAGCTGATAAGGTATGTAGTCAGTCCATTGTAGTAAACACATAAAGCCTTTGACTTTTATTACATGAATATTGGTACCACAGAGTTGACTCAAAAGTTTTCTGTAGAGAGAAGTAGAGTGTCGTAGATAATAAAACATGGGATTGGTGTTGGGGGAAAATGGAAAACAGAAGTAACTTGTGCTGCCCTACCAGGAATTAGCAGAAAACCAGGCAGACGCTTAACATTTTCTTTCCCTATGCAATGGATGAGACCACCAAGTTCAAAGAAGAGGAAACAAGAGGTGAGAACAGAGGAAGAGAAGTATCAATAAATAACTACAATAAGTGCAGATCTAGTGCAAAGACAAACAAAAAATGCCCACTTTTACCAAAGTCTAGAACTCTCCCTGACTCAGTTAGACGGTTGAGAGAATGGCTCTGGAGATAGAAATCCATATTTGACTGCCAGCCTATAGGTAAGTTTTTATTCCAACTCATGGTGACCATGTGTATAACAGAATGAAATGTGGACTGGTCCTGCACACTCTTCATGATCATTGGTCTGTTTGAATCCACTGTTGCAGAAATTGTGTCAATCCATCTCATAGAGAGGTCTCTTCATTTTTTTCAAGCATGATTTTATTAAGCATGATTTCCTTTTCTAGCAATTGGTCTTTCCTGATGATGTGTCCAAAGTCATTGAGCTGTAATCTCACTATCTTGGATTTTAAGGAGCATTGGGATTGTGTTACTTCTAAGACTGATTTGTTTGTTCTTTTGGCATTCAATGTAAATTCAAAATTCTTCACCAACACTACAGTTCAAAAACATTAATTCTTCTGTCTT